GAGGTAATTCTGGATGTAAGTGAGACCCAGAAAGAGTCTGTTGTTGCTCAGGACAGTGTTCCTCTAGAGCACGCCCTAGGAGAAGAGGGTAAGAGCAGAATTTCTGTGAGGGGTGAATTGTTGCATAGAAAAGCCCTAGGGAAATCCGTATGGAGTCTTTGCAATCAGTTTACTGCAACCGAAGGGTGTGAAAGTGATTTAATCAAGAAAGTTTCATAGAATCATAGAATATCACGGTTGGAAGGGACCTCAGGAGGTCATCTAGTCCAACCCCCTGCTCAAAAGCAGGACCAATCCCCAATTAAATCATCCTAGCCAGGGCTTTGTCAAGCCTGACCTTAAAAACTTCTAAGGAAGGAGATTTTACCACCTCCCTAGGCAACGCATTCCAGTGTTTCACCACCCTCCTAGTGAAAAAGTTTTTCCTAATATCCAACCTAACCCCCCCCCCCATTGCAACTTGAGACCATTACTCCTCGTTCTGTCATCTTCTACCACTGAGAATAGTCTAGAACCATCCTCTCTGGAACCACCTCTCAGGTAGTTGAAAGCAGCTATCAAATCCCCCCTCATTCTTCTCTTCCGCAGACTAAACATCCCCAGTTCCCTCAGCCTCTCCTCATAAGTCATGTGTTCCAGACCCCTAATCATTTTTGTTGCCCTTCGCTGGACTCTCTCCAATTTATCCACATCCTTCTTGTAGTGTGGGGCCCAAAACTGGACACAGTACTCCAGATGAGGCCTCACCAATGTCGAATAGAGGGGGACGATCACGTCCCTCAATCTGCTCACTATGCCCCTACTTATACATCCCAAAATGCCATTGGCCTTCTTGGCAACAAGGGCACACTGCTGACTCATATCCAGCTTCTCGTCCACTGTCACCCCTAGGTCCTTTTCCGCAGAACTGCTGCCTAGCCATTCGGTCCCTAGTCTGTAGCGGTGCATTGGGTTCTTCCGTCCTAAGTGCAGGACCCTGCACTTACCCTTATTGAACCTCATCAGATTTCTTTTGGCCCAATCCTCCAATTTGTCTAGGTCCTTCTGTATCCTATCCCTGCCCTCCAGCGTATCTACCACTCCTCCCAGTTTAGTATCATCCGCAAATTTGCTGAGAGTGCAATCCACACCATCCTCCAGATCATTTATGAAGATATTGAACAAAACCGGCCCCAGGACCGACCCCTGGGGCACTCCACTTCACCGGTTTCAGTTCCTAACAGCCAGAAATTTTCTGTTGTGAATGGATCCACTGACTTTCCTGTTGAAAGACCCAGTGTGGAGAGCTTTGAGAAGGTCTCAGATGGAGTGAAAGCTGTTAAGAAAGTTAAACAGTCCTCTAACCAAGTGGCTGTGTTTGGCCAGCTTGTTGGGGAGAAGACCCAATCCCAGTTTGACCCCCTGGGGTTTTGGGGTGGCCAAAGGGCATGGGCCACATAAACCTTCCCACATGCGGCCTGCGAGTGCTATTGACCACCCCCGACCTAAGGGAGGGCGTGAAACTGCAAGGGCCTGGTGTAACTCCTACCAAGGAATGGGAGAGATGCTGGGGCATCCATGGGAACGTTGGTGGCTTCGAACTTCCCCAGGTCACCGGATAAAGTGACCCCGCTCAGTTCGATCTCGAAGGGGGGAAGAGATGTGACGAAGTGGGACTGTTCTTAATGTTTCCTCTGAATACTGTGCGGCTGCCTCAGTTTCCCCTATGCAGTTGTTAAGTATCTAGGTGGTGGGGTAAGGGTGTATGATCGTTGCAGAGCCCTAGAGGGCAGGTGTGTGCAGGGGTCTGGACACAGAGAATGGCCGACACCCTGTTTCCTGGCCACTGATGGCCTGGGCCCTTCCCCCCCCCTGCAAGGTGAGAGCTAAAGGGTTGGAGAACAAAGGAATCAGGTGGCCTCCTGGCCCCGGAAAGGAACAAAGCCCAGGGGAGGAGGGGCTGGAGGGAGTTTCAGTTTGGGGCTGGCTGGGACATGGAGTGAAGGGCAGACGGGGTTGTCTGGCTCACTGCCCCCCAAAATGGACCCAGCTGAGGGGTCCTGTTCTCTGCACCTGCAAGCTGTTTTAGACCATGTTCCTGTCGTCTAATAAACCTTCTGTTTTACTGGCTGGCTGAGAGTCTGTCTGACTGCGAAGTTGGGGGCAGGACCCTCTGGCTTCCCCAGGAGCCCGCCTGAGCGGACTCGCTGTGGGAAGCACACGGAGGGGCAGAGGACGCTGAATGCTCCGAGGTCAGACCCAGGAAGGTGGAAGCTGTGTGAGCTGTGTGTCCTGCAGACAGGCTGCTCACAGAAAGGCGACTGCCCCAGAGTCCTGCCTGGCTTCATGGGGAGCAGTTCCAGAGCATCGCCTGGGGACTCTGTGCCACAGGGCCCTTAGCCCTGGTCTCATCACCCCAGACCAGGGCCCCAACCCGACACTGCACTGGACGCAGCCACTGAGCGCAGCCCAGGCCTCTCCCCACAGCGCTGCTGGGCAGCTGCCACCTCCCGCAAGGGGGGCACCCACCCGTGCTGCTCGTCTGGCCAGAGACAGGCCTCCGTGGTCCCAGCCAGGCCCGGGCTGGATTGAGCCACGGCCACAGGCCTGTGGGGCTGCAGAAGTGACCCAGCCCGCACCAGTGGAGACCCAGGCGTGGCCCATGGGGGCGACAGCCAGCAGGAATCCCTGGGGCTGGAACCTGCAGCCTGAGGGCACCTTGGCTCACCGAGGGACAGGGGGCAGAGGGGACCCAAGGGGTGCTTTGGGCTGCAAGCTGCTGGGCACAGAGCCCTGGGGGGAGACCCAGCCCCTTCGCGCCAATGGGGAGGGGCTCGCGGGACGCTCTGCTCCACCGGGCGCAGACAGATGGCGGGCTCCATGCACCCACAGGGCAGGGCTCGGCTCACGGGTGAGGGGCCCCTGGCCCCGGACTGCACCCAGCCCAGCAGGACGCCCAGGCCCCCAAGCAGTAACACGCAGCCTGTGCAGTGGCATTTAGGGGGGTGCCCCCACCCCGGCTCCACGGGGCCCCATGGGGGAGCAGGCTCTGGCAGCGACGGGCACAGCCCTCTGTGACGAAGTGGGACTGTTCTTAATGTTTCCTCCGAATATTGTGGGGGTGCCTCAGTTTCCCCTAGGCAGTTCTTAAGTATCTAGGGGGTGGGGTAAGGGTGTATGATCATTGCAGAGCCCTAGAGGGCAGGTGTGTGCAGGGGTCTGGACACAGAGAATGGCCGACACCCTGTTTCCTGGCAACTGATGGCCTGGGCCCTTCCCCCCTGCAAGGTGAGAGCTGAAGGGTTGGAGAACAAAGGAATCAGGTGACCACCTGGCCCAGGAAAGGGACAAAGCCCAGAGGAGGAGGGGCTGGAGGGAGTTTCAGTTTGGGGCTGGCTGGGACATGGAGTGAAGGGCAGACGTGGTTGTCTGGCTCACTGCCCCCCAAAATGGACCCAGCTGAGGGGTCCTGTTCTCTGCACCTGCAAGCTCTGCTTTAGACCATGTTCCTGTCATCTAATAAACCTCTGTTTTACTGGCTGGCTGAGAGTCACGACTGTCTGCGAAGTTGGGGTGCAGGACCCTCTGGCTTCCCCAGGAGCCCCGCCTGAGCGGACTCGCTGTGGGAAGCGCACGGAGGGGCAGAGGATGCTGAATGCTCCGAGGTCAGACCCAGGAAGGTGGAAGCTGCGTGAGCTGTGTGTCCTGAAGACAGGCTGCTCACAGAAAGGCGACTACCCCAGAGTCCTGACTGACTTCATGGGGAGCAGTTCCAGAGCATCGCCCAGGGACTCCGTGACACCCTCCAGGAAGGTGGCGTTTTCAGCAGCATACCTGGAAAGCACAGGGATCTGTCTGGATGGTAATGAGGGGCAGCCCTGCCCCTTGGCTCCTGTAGACCCTCTGCTCAGGGCTGCTCTCCCAGGGCTCTGCCTGTGGCGCCCGGCCGCCCGGCCCCTTGCTGGGCAGCAGGAAGAAGCTGGTCAGGGTGCAAAGGAAGCTCAGAGCCCAGCCAGCAGCACCCCTCGGGGGGCGAGTCACGGCGTGCCAGGCTGCAGCCCAGAAGCCTTCGCCCCCCCATCTCCGGCTGCGCAGAGTAGCACAGAGGGCCCCACGGGGCCTGGCCCATGGCAGCTCCTGCAGGCCCGTCCTGGGGCCGCCGGCCGCGCGGGGAGTTCTGGGCAGCGCAGGCCCAGGCCGGGGCCGCCACAGGAATCTCAGAGCAGGCAGGAGGGCAGAGCTATTTTTAACCTGCTGCCAGCCAGCGAGCGGGAAAGCTGAGCCCGCCTAGGACCCAGCCCATCGGCGCCCGGGGCCAGCTCGGCCAAGCTGAGGGTGGAAGCAGCAGGGCCCCGGCCAAGCAGAGCAGCAGAGGAAGGGGCGCGCCCAGGCTCCAGCCAGCTCGGTGAGGCTGCCCCGGCCAGAAGCGGCTCCTGCAGGCAGGGCCCTGGGGCCAGGCAGGGCCCTGGGGGAGGAAACGGGGCCAGGCAGAGCGGACTGCCGAGGCACCCCAGCCTTTGGCCTTCCTGTCCAGATGCAGCCTGGAGCAGCAGGGCTAGGCCTGGGAGGACAGAAGGACATGGCTGCGGAGCCTGCCCCAGGCAGGCAGGGGCACCACAACAGAACACGGACACGCCGCTCCAGCGAGTAGCCGGGCAGCACCAGCACGGCCAGGAGGCCCAGCAGCAGAGCCCCGTGGCTGACGGGGGCCGCGACGGCTCCAAACGCGCTCCCCCCTTCCACACTGCCAGGGCCAGGGCGCTGCCCCCACCGGGGCCGGGGCATCAGGGCGGGGCTGCACCTCTCCCAAGCATGCTAAGGGCCTGATGGCACCAGCCTCCCCTCCCCCTGCCAGCGTCCGTGCCCCCCCACGGAGCACAGATCACATCACCTCAACCAGGCCAAGGCCTTGGTGCCCACTGCCCTGGGGACCCTCGCAGCTCTGCAGCCAGACAGACAGACCCAGGCAGAGACGCCGAGTGCCCAGGGCAGGAGGAGGGACAGACACACACACACAGGCAGACAGTGCCAGGCATTTATTGGTCTGAGTGCAGAGTTCACAGTCTCTTGCTAGGCAGTGGAGGGCCCCGCCCGGGGGCTCGGCTCCGAGGGGGCAGCAGATGCTGGGGACTGGCAGAGAAAGCGAGTGCAGAGCCCCGGTCACAGGGCCCAGGCAGGGAGGCGCTTTGGGGCAGGGCTGCAGGAGGTGGCCCCCACCAACTCCCCCAGCCGGAGCAGGGGACCCTACTAGAGCCCATCCCCCATTGCCAGCAGCTGCCACCTTCATCCCATGAGCGGCGCTGGAGATAGGCCAGCACTGCCTGCGGGGGCAGCATCCCGGGCTGGCCACACACCTACAAACTCCCCCTGCTTCTCCAGAAAAGGGGCCAGCAGGAGGGGCTCTGCCGGGGGCAGGGGCAGAGCATCCAGGTCTCCCCCATGCAGCCCACGCTCGCGGAGCCCAGGTTACATCGGCAGGCCGGAGCCCCAGGCCCCCCACACCTGCAGGAAGCGGGTGTATGGGGTGCAGGAAGGGCACTGGGGCAGAAGGGTGGGGCAGCAGAGCTGGGTAGCGCCCCAGGCCAGGGGAGGCAGAGACGCAAGGACAGAACCGTGGGGCAGAGGCAAATGCCCGTGTAGCACATTCAGCTCCCAGGCCCCATCTCCCAGAGCGGAGACCCCTGCACATGCCCAGCGCAGCCCCCAGTGCACTCGAAGGGAACCCAGGGGAGCTGAGCCCCTCCTGCCCCAGGGAGGGGACCGAGGCTGCAGCCGCCCTGCTCAGTGGGACCCCCATGGCCACACAGAACCATCTGACAATGGGCAGTGCGGAGAGGCGGTACAGGGGGAGCCGGCCCCACACAACCCACCCTGGAGAGGGTGGGGATCCTAACACACACTGGGGGAGGGCAGCCCATGCCTTCACTCCCCAAACCGGAACATTAACCGTTTCCCTGCCCTGACAGCCCAGCCTTGCCCCCAAACACCCTGCAAGGAGATCCCTGCCCTGGAGTGAGCCAGACCCCCAGCACCCACCGCTGCTCACTGGCCAGCCAGGGCATCCCCCCCGCCCCCACCCGGGGGGCAAGGGAGGCTGGTCTGGGGGCGTTGGTCCCTTGGGATCCTTGCCAGCTGCTGTCCCTTGGCCGGGGAGGGGCCACTCCGCTGCTCCAGCCAGGCCCCACATGTCTGCAGCACGGCGAGGCCGAGGTCCTAAGGCAGGAGGCAGGCAAGCGCGGGGCAGGCAGAGCCGGGCTGGTCACAGGCACTGTGCCTTCTGCTGGAAGTAGGCCTCGAAACGGCACCGCGCGTAATCCTGGGCAGGGAGACAGCATCAGGCTGGTGCAGAGCAAGAACAGGGATCCTCTCAGAGCCCCCCAGCCGTGGGGACAGGGGAGACCAGTCATCCCATGGAGCCCCCAAGCTGTGGGGGGAAGGGCCAAAACAGGGATCCCCTCAGAGCCCCCCAGCCATGGGGACAGGAGAGGCCAGTAACTTCACACCCCTCAGAGCCCCCCAGCCATGAGGGAAGGGGAGACCAATCATCCCATGGAGCCCCCCAGACGTGGGGGCAGGGCCAGAACAGGGATCCCCACAGAGCCCCCCAGCCATGGGGGCAGGGGAGCCCAGTAACTTCACATCCCGCGGAGCCCCCCAGCTGTGGGGGCAGGGGAACCCAGTCACCCCACGCAGACCCCCAGCCATGGGGGCAGAGCCAGAACATAAGGACCCCATGTGCAGTCGCACTGAGGGCTGGGCACAGGGAGGCAGCAGGTACCCACAGTGCTCAGCTGGGCAGGTCCCTCCCATCCTCTGCAAAGGGACAGTTTAGGAGAGACGCCCCTCAGGACGCTGAATCCAGGCTGCCAGGCTGCGCCCCCTGACCTATGCCCTGTCTCAGCAGGCAGCCCTGGGCAGTGCCCTGTGGGAGCCAAGGGGCAGGGTCACCCGTGCCCTGTGCTCACCAGGTAGCCGAACTCAATGGTGGAGATCTTCGCCTGCAGGATGGACCAGAGGCCCCAAAAGAAGTGAGAGGCCAGAGCAAACCTGAGGGGAGAGAGCAGCCATTGGGGAGACGCTGGGAGAGACCCCCAACTGTGCCATGTCCCAGATTCCACCCCAAGCCTGCACAGCCTCCCCAGTCCCCAGGGCACCTGGCTCCCCTTTCAGAGCCCCTCAGGCACCCCCAGACTGGGCAGCAAGGCTGGGAGAAGGAGCCTGCAACAGATGCCTGACTGCGCTGAAGGGCTCTTTAAAGAGAAGATCTGTCCTTGGGGAGGGCAGCAGGGTGGGGGTCCCCCCATGCCAGCCCCCTACACCCGCTCTCTGTGGGGGAAACAGGGGTGGGGGTCTCCCCTTGCCGCCCCCCGTCATTCACGCACCGGCTGATCTCGGTGAGCATCTCCTCCTCGATGCGGGCCTGCTCCTCTTGCGTGGTGTCCCCGCGCCGCACCGAGTCCTCCCACAGGTAGTGCCGGATGAAGTGCAACTGCGGGCAGGACGAGCAAGTCTCAGCCTCAGGCCCCAAACGCAGGATGGGGAAACCAAGGCTCTGCCTCCCTGCCCATCTGGGCGAGGCCCAGAGTGAGTTGGGTGCTCCTGGGGGAATTCTGCACCACTGCACATGCACAGAATTCATGTCCCCCACAGATTTTTTTTTTCCTCCCCACAGAATTATAAATTCTGCTAGGGAGGTGCTGCAGTTACCCCTTTTATGCACCAGAAACTGTTGTGGACCCAGAAGAGAGGGCAGCTGAGTCAGGGCCGGAGCAGCCCGCTACAGAGTGGGAGGTGAAGAGGCTGCATTCCTCACAGCGCCCTGCCCATGGGGCCAGGCGAGGAGGCATGGGATATTGGGAGGGGGACAGCACAGGGCACACAGGGCTGCGGGCGGCCACATAGATTCAGAAGGGCTAGTGGAGGGGACAGACTAGGGTGGGGGCACAGGAGCTAGCGGGGTGAGAGCACTGACCCAGGGGCTGAATGGGAGTGGAGTACAGGGCCACAAGGGGACGGGGGCAGATGTTCCTGGCTGAATGGAAGAGGCTAGGGGTCAGCCAGGGCCTGCATGGGGGAGGCTCCCCAACTTACTAACAATCTGGCCCCCCCGCCCCAAAAAAAAAAAACAACAACAACCCTGTTCCATACTTCTCCCAGCCACACCCACCAACCCTCCAGGTTCATTCCCAGGCTCCTGCCTTCTCCCTCAGCTCCTCCATTCCCCGTCTCTCCCCAGCCTTTGCACTGCTTCTGAGGGGGGTGGGAATCCGGTTCTGTATTACAGTAGAAATGAATTACTCAAAGGTCTGTATTAACATGCCTAGTGAGGATCTATTTGTCAAGAAACATTTCCTGAAGGTTTTTTGTTGTCTGTACTGTTACAGACAATTGCTGACAGGTATTCTGAAATCAATTACCGAATTAACTGAAACTGGCGTGATTATACTATGTTACTTTGACAAACAAAATACGCAGAATTTTGCAGAATTTTAAAATATTCTGCACAGAATTTTTAAGTTTTTGGCACAGAATTCCCCCATGAGGAGTAGGGGAGCTCCCGGGGCAGGGGGCTCAGAAAGGGGCCCAACACCCAGCAACAATCCCAACAGCTACAGCCCCACCAACCAGAACACAAGCACCTCACCCCACAGGGCAGCAGCCTGGCAAGGATTGGATTCACTGCCTGCCTGCCCGCCTGCCCTCCGGCCTCCCCAGGGGCTCCCCCAGCCAGGCGGCCGTTACCTGCTGCTGACGCGTGGGGTAGTTCTCCATGGAGGCCTGGTAGAAGGGCCACGTGTCATGGGTGTAGTCGTACACCCACTCACAGAAGTGATTGCCAATGTCAAAGCCCCTGCAGGGAGAGGGGGGGTTAGGAGCTTCCATGCTCACAGGGTTCCAGCCTCCTCGCGGCCCCGACCTCACCCCACCGGGCATCCGCAGCAGAGCTGCCCCGACAGCCTCGCATGGGTCGCATGGCCCAGGGAGAACACCAGGCTGGACAGCCATCCTCAGAGCCGGCCTGACAGCCCCGCGTGGGTCGCACAGCCCAGGGAGAGCACCGGGCTGGGCAGTGGATGTCCTATACACACCAGCTTACGGCTCGGCACCACACCCACCCTGCCCCCCATTAGCTCTGCTCCCCACGGCCGACCCCACCTCCCATCACCCACCTGTAGTTGTAGCTGCTGTATTCAAAGTCAATCAGCATCAGCTTGTCGCTGGGGTGTGACTCGCGCCCAGCCAGCAGCAGGATGTTCCCTGGAAAGGGGCAGGACAGGTGAGAGCAGCTACCTTGGGGAGCCTGCAGGGGCTGGGGGAAGCGACACAGGCAGGGTGGAGGAGTCGGAGCTGGGGGAGCCCCTCTGGTCCCATGTAGCCCTGCCCCGGAGCCGAAGCAGGACTGGCCCCCAGGCAGGGCTCAGGCTGCTCCCCGGGACAAGCTGCGCTCAGGCCAGCGAGGTCCCCCCGACCTAACCCCAGAGAGGCTGTGGGGAGGGGAGCCACACTGTCGTGGTGGCTCAGGCCCCAGCGGGCCCAAGGCTGGGCTATTCTGGCTGGCAATGGCGACCGCCAACAGACAATGGGGGCATTTCACCCCCTGCCACTCACCTTCCTGCACATCATTGTGGCAGAAGACCACAGGGGAGGGCGTGGACTCCAGCAGCTCCCTGGAATTCAGGGGAGAGAGACATCAGTAGACAGCCTGCTTCATCGTTCCCACTCCCCCAGGCCTCTCCAGCAGGGTGCACTGCGAGAGGGAGCCCCAAGGAGAGCAGGCTCTGACGCTTCTAGCTTCTGCCGCTCGCGGTGCCGGGCAGAGACCCGCCCACCTCTGGGTAGGAAAACCGGAGCTGACTGCGGACACAGGGAGGGGAGCCGGAGCCAACCGCGGGGTAGCCAGAGCCGGATGGGAGACGGGGGTGAGCGCATGGGCCTGTTGCAGTGCAGAACTAGCAGGAACCAGCAGCGAGGGGCACCCCTGCGGCGCTGGGGGGGGGGGGGGCACCTTTCTGCCCAGCCTCTATGGCAGTTCGTCCTCCCCAACCCCCACGTGTCCATGGCGGCTCCTCGGGCCCTGCGCTCACCTGAGGCTCCCCATTTCCTTCTGCAGGTTATAGGCTTTCAGCTGGCTGAACAACTTCCGCTGGGCGTCCTGAAGGAAGGTGAGCTCGGCGATCTGCTTCAGGTACCTAGAGCGCAAGGTCTTGTCACCTCCGCAGGGCGAGGCCCCCAGCCCTCCTCCCCGGAGCAGGGAGACGGGAATTCCCCCAGCCCTCCTCCCCGGAGCAGGGAGATGGGAATTCCCCCAGCCCTCCTCCCTGGAGCAGGGAGACGGGAATTCCCCCAGCCCTCCTCCCCGGGAGCAGGGAGACGGGAATTCCCCCAGCCCTCCTCCCCTGGGAGCAAGGGAGACCCCCCACCCCTGGGAGCAGGGAGACGGGAATTCCCCCAGCACTCCTCCCCCTGGAGCGTGAGGCGGCCCCCCCCCCCTCCCCCGGGAGCAAGGGAGACCCCCCACCCCCAGCACTCACTCCCCGCCTCCATGACACCCCCCCCAACTTGCCTCCCCTGGGAGCAGGGAGATGGGGAGACACCCCGTCACTCAGTCCCCCACCCCAGCAGTGAGATGGGGAGGGACCCCTCCACTCACAGCAAGACAGGGCCCATTATTCTCCCTCCTGGCCCCATGGCAGAGGACACCTATGGGCAGAGACCCTGCAGCACTGCATCGGGGTGGGGGTGCACTCCCCTCAGAACTATTGCTGCGAAGTGATGGGAGCTGACTCCTTCCCAGGCACAATCCAGGCCCCCATTCCTGCAGGGGAAGGGTCCCCCCCAGGGGGACACAGCTGGTGCTGCCCCCCTGCAGCCCGCAGGCCAGAGTAGCCCAGAGCAGTGCGAGGGCAGGTGTTACCGTTCCATGGTCCCAAACAGCCACTTGGGCTCCTTGTTGAAGGGCATCACCATGCCGTGGAAGCGGGACATCTTCATCGCTATCTCCCTGGAGATGTCGGGGTCCTGCAGGTCCTCTGTGCACAGACGCCGGCTCTGGGGACACGCGGCAGGCATGAGACACCTGCCTCCAAGGAATGGGATGGGGGCGGCAGGGACCCCGGGGCTCGCTTGGCCTGGCACGGGGCCTCCAGCGCCGGCGGAGGGACAGAGCCCTCTCAGCGCCCCCGGGAGCCCACAGGTCTGAGCCAAGCGACAGCACAAAGGAGCAAGCTGGCCAGGAGGGGCACAGAGCCGGGGCAACCCAGGCACCTGCCATGCACAGCAGCCATCTGGGGCCATGGAGGAAGAACCACTTGGGCCCCACCAGCCCTTGAACTCAGGCAGGGAGGTACTCTGGCCAGCCCGTTGGGGGCCAGGCATCCGGCGTGGGGGAAGGGTAGAGGGTAGGCCACCCAGCGAGGCCCGTACCGGAATGTACTGCTCCAGCCGCCCCTGGGGAAAGACCCCGTAGAGCCGCGGCCCCAGTGCCCGCTCTGCCAGGATGGCAAACATCACGCTCTCCAGAACCAGCGAGTCCACGCCCTGCAGAGACAGAAGGCATGGGTGAGGGGCAGCCACCCCCAAATCTGTGCAGTCGGGGAAAGGGCCGTGACCCTGAGTGCCCCTCCCCCTCAGATTGTGCAGGGTGTGGGGCAGTGACCCTGGGATCCCCCCAACCCTGCACAATATGGGGGGGAGTGACCCCAAGATGCTGCTTGATGCCAGGGTGGGGAGGCAGCAAACCCACAATCCACAGCCCACCCCAGTGCACAGTCATGGGGAACCTCACAAAGGAACCCCCACCACCCATGGGAGGGGCCCCTCGAGGGTCTGAGAAGCCCACCAGAGAAGGGAGGATGGCATTAACCCCCTCAGCCTTGAACCCTTCGCTGTCCTGTGCAGAAAGCTCCCCAGAGTCAGCACCCAGCAGCAGCAAGCTGGACAGAGCCATTTCTCTAGCCCGGAGGGTGCTGCAGGGCTGGGAGAGCAGGGGGCTGCGGGTGGGGACTCCAGGGTACTGGCAGAGCGGGGGCAGGGCTGGGATAGCAGGGGGCTGCGGGGGGGGGACTTTGGGGTACTGGCAGAGCTGGGGGCAGGGCTGGGTAAGCAGGGGGCTGCAGGTGGGGACTACGGGCGCTGGTAGAGCTGGGGGGCAGGGCTGGGATAGAAGGGGGCTATGAGTGGGGACTGTGGGTCACTGGCAGAGCTGGGGGGCGGAGCTGGGATAGCAGGGGGCTGCAGGTGGGGACTATGGGGCACTGGCAGAGCTGGGGGGCAGGGGGCTGCGGGGCACTGGCACAGCTGGGAGGGGGCAGGGCTGACCTGGGCCCTCACCGTGGGGCGGTCGATTACACTCCCTGCAGAGGCCTGCATAACCCCAACAGCTGGCTGGTGACAGGGGGCACAGCTGGCCCAGTGCGTGGCAGCCAGGGAGCCGGTCGCTGACGAGGTGGGGTGGGGCCAGTTCACCCACACACTGACCCCAGCCAGGCCATCGCATGCAGCGCAGGAAGCCATTCGGTGGGTCCCTGGTCGCCCCCACCCCTGTGCCCTGCTGCCAGGCGGGGGAGCCTCACCTGCAGAATGGCCCCGTAGACGCGCAGCAGCACCTGCCGAGGCTCATCGCCCACACTCAGGATGTGTTCCGGGAGGCTGCATTTGTACAGCAGGTTACTGAGCCCCCCACTGCAAAGGGAAGCAGACCCCAGATCAGAGGCCATGGGGCCCAGTGCACTGGGACGCAGCCCAGGCGCTGGGGCACAGCCCGGAAGGTTTGCGGATCCCTCCCTGGCCAGTTCAGCCTCAGCCCACACAAGCGAGCTCCTGCCCAGATCCTGCCGTGGGCGTGAACCGGGCCCCTCCAGCACCCATGAGCACGCCCTGGCCGAGGGGCCGGCTGCGTGTGCCCCAGAGCCCCCGGCTCCTACGCCTGCATGGGGAGAGACCTGGGCACAGGCCCCCACAGGACCGCGGCTGTGCCCGGGACAGCACCCTGCTGGGAACTCCAGCATGGCCCTGGGCCTGCCCCAGAGCGAGGGGACAGGGAGTACCCCCCTTCCATTCCTCTCCGGCTTGTACCAGCCTCACCCCGGGCGGCAGGCACGGGTCTGCTTCCCAAAGCCTAGCTGCGCGCGCTATGCCAGACCAGGCCCGAGGGCACGTTCAGGGGATGATCCAGGAGCCCCGGGCATGCGAGAGAGGAGCCCCTGCGAGGCGGGGGGGCAGAGGAAGCAGCAGCAGGCTGGCCCCTGACCGGGCAGGGCTCTCGCGGCCTGGGCACGGCTGCGGAGCCGGGGTGTGGGGGGGGTAGCAGGAGCCGCACTGGCACCTTCGCGCCCCTCCGAGCCGTGTGGCTGGGCTGGGCTGGCAGCAGGGACTCGGGCACCGAGCGGGGGCAAAGCTCGCAGGCGGGCGCTCAGAGACACTCAGCTCCGGCTGCCCCGCACCCAGCCAGGGCTGCGAGCGGGAGGGTGCCCTGCACAGGTCTCCGCCCGGCAGAGGCACCCCCAGGCCCAGCTAAGGACACGGCCTGTGTGGCCCGTGGGTTCCCCCCTCGCCAGTGGAGCCCCGGGGCGATGACAAGCCAGGTTTTATGGGGGTGAAGCACATCTACATTAGGGGTCTGCGCCAAGGCAGCTTTCCTGGGGGCGCTGCAGCAACAGCCCACCCGAGAGGTGGGCCCCTCGCCCCACAACCAGGCTCCAGACGCTGCGCGGTCACTGGAAACACTGCAGGCCTGTCGCCCCACCTGCCAGCGCGACCCAGGGTCTGCCCGAGCCCGCCCCGGAGCTCGGAGAGCGGCGTTAACTCTGGACCCTAATGACTACCCGGCAGTGCTAGCTCGGAGACCCGTTACCCGGCTGATCCCTGCCTCGGACACACCCCGGACCCCGCTTCCTGCACACCACCCCCCAGGCCAGCCCCCCACCAGCCACCCCGCCCGGTCCGGCTCCCGGCTCCCGGCCCTGCCCAGCCCAGGCCCCGCCCCCACCCGCCACCCCGCCCTGGACCCTATGACTACCCGGCTGTCCCGGCCCCTCGCCCACCCCGCCCAGGCCCACACCACCCCCCCAGCCCCCCCACCCCGCCCGGCCCGGCTCCCGGCTCCCGGCCCCGCCCAGCCCAGGCCCCGCCCCCACCCGCCACCCCGCCCGGCCCGGCCCGGCTCCCGGCCCCGCCCAGCCCAGGCCCCGCCCCCACCCGCCACCCCTCCCGGTCCTGCTCCCGGACCGGACCGGCCCCGACCCCGCCCCGGTACCTGACCGGGCTGATGCCGAGCTCCTCGGGCTCCAGCCCAGGCCCCCAGGCCCTCGCCGCACCACACGACACCGCGGCCGGGTGTGGCCGGGCACGGCCCCGCCCAGCCCAGGCCCCGCCCGCCATCCGCCCGGGCAGCGCCCGCCCGCCCAGCCCAGGCCCGCCTCCATCCGCCAGCTCCAGCTCCCGGCCGGCCCAGCCCCGGCCTCCGCCACTCGCCGCCCGCCCCCGTCCCGGCCTCCCCCCCGCCAATCCGCCCGTCCGGCTCCCGGCCCCGCCCACCCCCAAGCCCCGCCCCCCCCGCCCGGCCTCCGCCATCGCCGCCGGCCCAGGCTCCGCCTCCACCATCCCGCCACCCCCCGCCGGCCTCCTCGCCCCGGCCCGGATCCGCCCCCGCCATCGCCCCCGCCCCCTCCGACCGGCTCCGCCTCCGCCAATCGCCTCCGGCCCGAGCCTCCAGGCCTCCGGCCAGGATCGCCGCCCCCCACGAGGCGCGGAGCCGGCTCCGGCCGGGCAATCGCCGCCGGCCCGGCTCCGCCTCCGCCAATCGCCACCCGCCCCCGCGGCCTCCGCCAATCGCCGCCGCCTCCATCGCCAGCTCCAGCTCGCCGCCGGCCCGGCTCCGCCTCCGCCAATCGCCGCCCGCCCCCGCCTCCGCCAATCGCCGCCGGCCCGGCTCCGCCTCCGCCAATCGCCGCCCGCCCCCGCCGGCCTCCGCCAATCGCCGCCGGCCCGGCTCCGCCCCCGCCAATCGCCGCCCGCCCCCGCCCCCCTCCGCCTCCGCCAATCGCCGCCGGCCCGGCTCCGCCTCCGCCAATCGCCGCCCGCCCCCGCCGGCCTCCGCCAATCGCCGCCGGCCCGGCTCCGCCTCCGCCAATCGCCGCCCGCCCCCGCCGGCCTCCGCCAATCGCCGCCGGCCCGGCTCCGCCTCCGCCAATCGCCGCCCGCCCCCGCCGGCCCGGCTCCGCCAATCGCCGCCCGCCCCCGCCGGCCTCCGCCAATCGCCGTGCCGCCTTCCGCCTTCACGGGGCGCACGTTCCGCCAATCAGCGCCCTGTCCTCGCGGCGCCGCTGGCAGCGCGATTGGTCTGGTGTCAGCGAGGCTCGCGGACTCACCGTTGTGATTGGCGAGACCAGCCCGGAAGGGGAAGCCTGAATCAGCCAATCGCCGCGGAGCCTTTGCCCCAGTGACAGCCAATCAGGACCGAGAGTCCCGTGGCCAGGGCAGCGCGGCCAGTGCGCCGCGGGAGGGGCGAGGCGCCGCAGGATGCCGCGGAACGTGGAGCTCAAGGCGCGCGCGCGGGACCTGGCGCGCGCGGAGCGCGTCGCCGAGCGGCTCAGCGGGGGCGCGGGCCGCGCGCTCACCCAGACCGACACCTTCCTGCGCGCGCCGCGCGGCCGCCTCAAGCTGCGCGACTGCGGGGTGCGAGCCGGGGGGGTAACGGTCAGCGCGTCCGGTCAGCGCGCGCCCCCGCCCCGCGCGCGCCCGCGCGCCGCCTCCGCAGCTCCCATTGGCCGGCCGCGGCGGGACCCGGCAGCGCGTGGAGCCCCCGCCCTCCCCCAAGGGGCCCCAGAGATGTGCCCCCCTCCTGCCCCCCACCTCCCTCCCAGAGCCCCAGCCTGCCCCTTCCTGCCCCCCAACTCCCTCCCAGAGCCGGACCCCCAGCCTGCCCCTTCCTGCCCCCCAACTCCCTCCCAGAGCCTGACCCCCACCTCCCTCCTGCCCCCCAACTCCCTCCCAGAGCCCCAGCCTGCCCCTTCCTGCCCCCCAACTCCCTCCCAGAGCCCCAGCCCCCCCTCCCTCCTGCCCCCCAACTCCCTCCCAGAGCCCCAGCCTGCCCCTTCCTGCCCCCCACCTCCCTCCCAGAGCCCCCGCCCCTCCCTCCTGCCCCCCACCTCCCTCCCAGAGCCCCACCCCCCCCCCCTCCTGCCCCCCAACTCCCTCCCAGAGCCCCAGCCTGCCCCTTCCTGCCCCCCAACTCCCTCCCAGAGCCCCAGCCTGCCCCTTCCTGCCCCCCCCAACTCCCTCCCAGAGCCCCAGCCTGCCCCCTCCTGCCCCCCAACTCCCTCCCAGAGCCCCAGCCTGCCCCTTCCTGCCCCCCAACTCCCTCCCAGAGCCCCAGCCTGCCCCTTCCTGCCCCCCAACTCCCTCCCAGAGCCTGACCCCCCACCTCCCTCCTGCCCCCCCTCCCTCCCCCCCCCCCCCCCCTCCTGCCCCCCACCTCCCTCCCAGAGCCCCAGCCTGCCCCTTCCTGCCCCCCAACTCCCTCCCAGAGCCCCACCCCCCCTCCCCCTCCTGCCCCCCAACTCCCTCCCAGAGCCCCAGCCCCCCCCCCCACCCCCCCACCTCCCTCCTGCCCCCCAACTCCCTCCCAGAGCCCCAGCCCCCCCTCCTCCTGCCCCCCAACTCCCTCCCAGAGCCCCAGCCCCCCCCCTCCCTCCCTGCCCCCCAACTCCCTCCCAGAGCCTGACCCCCCACCTCCCTCCTGCCCCCCAACTCCCTCCCAGAGCCCCAGCCTGCCCCTTCCTGCCCCCCCAACTCCCTCCCAGAGCCCCAGCCTGCCCCTTCCTGCCCCCCAACTCCCTCCCAGAGCCTGACCCCCACCTCCCTCCTGCCCCCCAACTCCCTCCCAGAGCCCCAGCCTGCCCCTTCCTGCCCCCCAACTCCCTCCCCAGAGCCTGACCCCCACCTCCCTCCTGCCCCCCAACTCCCTCCCAGAGCCCCAGCCTGCCCCTTCCTGCCCCCCCACCTCCCTCCCAGAGCCTGACCCCCACCTCCCTCCTGCCCCCCAACTCCCTCCCAGAGCCCCAGCCTGCCCCTTCCTGCCCCCCAACTCCCTCCCAGAGCCTGACCCCCCACCTCCCTCCTGCCCCCCAACTCCCTCCCAGAGCCCCAGCCTGCCCCTTCCTGCCCCCCAACTCCCTCCCAGAGCCCCAGCCCCCCTCCCTTCCTGCCCCCCAACTCCCTCCCAGAGCCTGACCCCCCACCTCCCTCCTGCCCCCCAACTCCCTCCCAGAGCCCCAGCCTGCCCCTTCCTGCCCCCCAACTCCCTCCCAGAGCCTGACCCCCCACCTCCCTCCTGCCCCCCAACTGCCTCCCAGAGCCCCAGCCTGCCCCTTCCTGCCCCCCAACTCCCTCCCAGAGCCTGACCCCCACCTCCCTCCTGCCCCCAACTCCCTCCCAGAGCCCCAGCCTGCCCCTTCCTGCCCCCCAACTCCCTCCCAGAGCCCCAGCCTGCCCCTTCCTGCCCCCCAACTCCCTCCCAGAGCCTGACCCCCACCTCCCTCCTGCCCCCCAACTCCCTCCCAGAGCCCCAGCCTGCCCCTTCCTGCCCCCCAACCTCCCTCCCAGAGCCTGACCCCCACCTCCCTCCTGCCCCCCAACTGCCTCCCAGAGCCCCAGCCTGCCCCCTCCTGCCCCCCAACTCCCTCCCAGAGCCCCAGCCTGCCCCTTCCTGCCCCCCAACTCCCTCCCAGAGCCTGACCCCCACCTCCCCTCCTGCCCCCCAACTCCCTCCCAGAGCCCCAGCCTGCCCCTTCCTGCCCCCCCCTCCCTCCCAGAGCCCCCCCCTCCCTCCCCCCGAGCCCCACCTCCCCCCCCTCCTGCCCCCCAACTGCCTCCCAGAGCCCCAGCCTGCCCCCTCCTGCCCCCCAACTCCCTCCCAGAGCCCGACCCCCCACCTCCCTCCTGCCCCCCAACTGCCTCCCAGAGCCCCAGCCTGCCCCTTCCTGCCCCCCAACTCCCTCCCAGAGCCCACCCCCCACCTCCCTCCTGCCCCCCAACTGCCTCCCAGAGCCCCATCCCCACCTCCCTCCTGCCCCCCAACTCCCTCCCAGAGCCCCACCCCCACCTCCCTCCTGCCCCCCAACTCCCTCCCAGAGCCCCACCCCCACCTCCCTCCTGCCCCCCAACTGCCTCCCAGAGCCTGACCCCCACCTCCCTCCTGCCCCCCAACTCCCTCCCAGAGCCCCAGCCCCCACCTCCCTCCTGCCCCCCAACTCCCTCCCAGAGCCCCAGCCTGCCCCCTTCCTGCCCCCCAACTCCCTCCCAGAGCCTGACCCCCACCTCCCTCCTGCCCCCCAACTCCTCCCGAGCCCCCCCCCCCCCCCCCCCTCCCCCCCCCAACTCCCTCCCCAGAGCCCCGACCCCCCCTCCCTCCTGCCCCCCAACTCCCTCCCAGAGCCTGACCCCCACCTCCCTCCTGCCCCCCAACTCCCTCCCAGAGCCCCAGCCTGCCCCTTCCTGCCCCCCCACCTCCCTCCCAGAGCCTGACCCCCACCTCCCTCCTGCCCCCCAACTGCCTCCCAGAGCCCCAGCCTGCCCCTTCCTGCCCCCCAACTCCCTCCCAGAGCCTGACCCCCACCTCCCTCCTGCCCCCCAACTGCCTCCCAGAGCCCCAGCCTGCCCCTCCTGCCCCCCAACTCCCTCCCAGAGCCTGACCCCCCACCTCCCTCCTGCCCCCCAACTGCCTCCCAGAGCCCCACCCCCAGCCTGCCCCTTCCTGCCCCCCAACTCCCTCCCAGAGCCCCACCCCCACCTCCCTCCTGCCCCCCAACTCCCTCCCAGAGCCCCACCCCCAGCTCCCTCCTGCCCCCCAACTGCCTCCCAGAGCCCCAGCCTGCCCCCTCCTGCCCCCCAACTCCCTCCCAGAGCCTGACCCCCCACCTCCCTCCTGCCCCCCAACTGCCTCCCAGAGCCCCAGCCTGCCCCCTCCTGCCCCCCAACTCCCTCCCAGAGCCTGACCCCCACCTCCCTCCTGCCCCCCAACTCCCTCCCAGAGCCCCAGCCTGCCCCTTCCTGCCCCCCAACTCCCTCCCAGAGCCACCCCCACCTCCCTCCTGCCCCCCAACTCCTCCCAGAGCCCCAGCCTGCCCCTTCCTGCCCCCCAACTCCCTCCCAGAGCCTGACCCCCACCTCCCTCCTGCCCCCCAACTGCCTCCCAGAGCCCCAGCCTGCCCCTTCCTGCCCCCCAACTCCCTCCCAGAGCCTGACCCCCACCTCCCTCCTGCCCCCCAACTGCCTCCCAGAGCCCCAGCCTGCCCCTTCCTGCCCCCCACTCTCCCTCCCAGAGCCTGACCCCCACCTCCCTCCTGCCCCCCAACTGCCTCCCAGAGCCCCAGCCTGCCCCCTCCCTCCTGCCCCCCAACTCCCTCCCAGAGCCTGACCCCCACCTCCCTCCTGCCCCCCAACTCCCTCCCAGAGCCCCAGCCTGCCCCTTCCTGCCCCCCAACTCCCTCCCAGAGCCTGACCCCCACCTCCCTCCTGCCCCCCAACTGCCTCCCAGAGCCCCAGCCTGCCCCTTCCTGCCCCCCAACTCCCTCCCAGAGCCTGACCCCCACCTCCCTCCTGCCCCCCAACTCCCTCCCAGAGCCCCAGCCTGCCCCTTCCCCCCCACCCCTCCCGCCCCCCCACCTCCCTCCTGCCCCCCAACTCCCTCCCAGAGCCCCAGCCTGCCCCTTCCTGCCCCCCAACTCCCTCCCAGAGCCCCACCCCCCACCTCCCTCCTGCCCCCCAACTGCCTCCCAGAGCCCCAGCCTGCCCCTTCCTGCCCCCCAACTCCCTCCCAGAGCCCGACCCCCCCCTCCCTCCTGGCCCCCAACTGCCTCCCAGAGCCCCAGCCTGCCCCTTCCTGCCCCCCAACTCCCTCCCAGAGCCTGACCCCCCACCTCCCTCCTGCCCCCCAACTGCCTCCCAGAGCCCCAGCCTGCCCCTTCCTGCCCCCCACCTCCCTCCCAGAGCCTGACCCCCACCTCCCTCCTGCCCCCCAACTGCCTCCCAGAGCCCCAGCCTGCCCCTTCCTGCCCCCCAACTCCCTCCCAGAGCCTGACCCCCACCTCCCTCCTCCCCCCAACTGCCTCCCAGAGCCCCAGCCTGCCCCCTCCTGCCCCCCAACTCCCTCCCAGAGCCCGACCCCCCGCCTCCCTCCTGCCCCCCAACTGCCTCCCAGAGCCCCAGCCTGCCCCCTCCTGCCCCCCAACTCCCTCCCAGAGCCTCCCCCCCCCCCCCCCCCCCCCCCCAACTGCCTCCCAGAGCCCCAGCCTGCCCCCTCCTGCCCCCCAACTCCCTCCCAGAGCCCCCCCGCCTGCCCCCCCCCCCCCCCTCCCTGCCCCCCAACTCCCTCCC